GGTCTATGCCAATTTGTCCGGAATAAATCTACGATAAAATATACATGACAGATATGAAGAGAGACGCAAGCGATTTAATATTAAACAATTGTTTTTCAAATATTAAATCAATCGTACATTAAAAATGTCGACAGCTCAAAAGTGAGAGAGACAACTAATGATCGATATTACAATAAGTTCCCGGAACATCGATGTTCACAAAGAACTTTCTTAATTCCTTTTGATACGACTAAAGTTACGGTAATGAAAGAATGAATAACATTATGCGATTCGCTTCTCGCCATACGATTGTTATCGGTGCTTGTTAATGTCCAATTGAAGAAACGTTTGTTGTAACGCGCGTAAATGAGACACCAAATGCGTATGTTTTAGCGCCGTTACATGTCATGTCAGCTAACACTTTGCGAATAGTGTGCTATGCTATCGAAATTCGATCGAAGCGACGTTGCCGCCGGTCGTGGACTCGATCACGGAAAAACGTGACACAACGCTTTCGGAACCGCGGTTTCCTTCGCTTTTTCTCATTTTTAGCACGAAAAAGCACTCGTCGCTGTCGCGCGTCGTGATATCAAAATGCTATTCACTAGCTAGTGAAAAGAGAAACGCTTGCGTGATATTTCGATAATATCGTGCAAATATGTTTGTACTTTATGATATACAACCAATTTCGGTTAAACTGTTAATTGAAAACAACTTTATTTGTTTATTATTTTTCCCGACTGCCACAAAAGTAATATCGATAATTTTGATAAAGTACGTACATAGATTAATGTTCTAGAAAAGCTCTTAAAAGTTTTGTGACTTTCGGATTTTTACAGAGCGCAAGGAAAAGAGATTAATTCAATTGAGCTAATGAATTCAGAACACAAAAAGATCATTCTGCATATCTCTCTCTGTCTCTCGGTCGATTCTAGCATCGACTCTAATATACAGAAACGCGATCGCGCGGCACGCGATGAAGATGGTTTCGTGTTTCTTGCACCTGCGAGCACCAGCAGTACCAGTCGCCGTCGCGCATACGCTCCAGGAATGCGTCTGGTTAACTATACACTGTGGATCGGACTCGTGTGATCATGCACACAGATTATACATTTTCGAGTAAAACTGTCTCAAATTTTCTTAAATCATACGTATATGTTGCAAATTCAATCTTGCTATAAAAATTTAGTCTTTTTCTCAAAACATTTTTTGATGGAAACATCATTGCAATGATTGCAACAATTTTTCTATATGATATGTAACTTGCAAGAATTAAATTTGTCAAAATAGAAAAGATTATCACTTCAAATTTATCGATTCTGGAATCTCAACTTTAAAAATTTTCTAAACTTTAGAAATTTTCCACATCTTATCGATGCAAAGTTCTTCGATTTATGAAATGTTCGATTTAAGAAAGTTATTCTTAACATCTTTTTTGATAAAGATGCTACGAGACTTCTGAGATGTCTTATATATTCCTATGCCCAGATGTGTTAGCGCGTAAAGCGAAAAAAAAGATATCTTCGCCTCCAACGCGTTACGCGTTCCAGCGCAAATGGATATTAATTGCCGAGGCCATTGGAGAACTTGTTAGATTAACCCTTACATGAATATGCAGAATCTTAAAAGACAAGGAAGTCCTATCGCAAGTTCGCAGTATTATCGAAGTTGAAATTAATGTACGCCGTTCCGTGTACAATGCGTGAGCATGCTGTGTCCGCAATTAAATCGCAATTTTTTAAAAAAGTGAAGAATCCAAAACCTATCGAAATGCTCCTCGACAGTTCTGTAAATAATCCTAAAAATATAGCCATTGTTTTAAATGGTGAAATATTTTCCATCGTCCTTTGGTAAAATAGTAACTTTTTAATATAAAAAGGATAAAACTCCAAAGAATTCGAAAAATATTAAATCTAATAATCTCTGAAGTATAATTCGAAGATTTTATAAAATATGAGATCGATATTCACCAAGCATGTTAAATAAATCGTTAGCAGACGTACGCATTGACGGCACACAAGGACTTGTGCGATTTATTGCAATAGCGCCGAAGTCAATGTTAGGACCTTGCAGAGCTCCATGTGCACGCATATTTTATTATAGCATGCACGTGCGCATCGGAAGATTATGTGCATAGAGACAAGGAGAGAAAAACATGGATCCGATTTAGATTAATTACTGCGCATTCGTTTCTCAGTGTTCAGGTTCTTTTTTTCAGTTTTCAATCCTTCTATATTTTTGTTGTTGTTACTAAATCTATAAATTTTATGTTAAGTAAAAAAAAATATTAGCAGTTAAACTATAATTAATCACAATATCACATGAAATATATAAAATTATTACAATAATAAATTAGCGATTAAAAAAATATTCGGAAATGTGATTTACAAATTACGAGAGGCATCTTTTTTCTTAAAAGAAATCTGTGTATACAGTAATAAAAAAGAAATTCATAAAAATATGCATTAAATAAAACGTAAAACAGATTTAACAAAGATATATACATGAAACATCATAAAATGAAATTAATTGGGAACATTAAGTTATATCGAAAGCTAATTACGTTTACGAGCAATGCTTGGTAAAAGCACTATAAAATGCCGACTTGCGAAATCGCTAAAAATGCATCTTTAGCGAAGCTTGCTGTTTTTTTCTCCCTCTTTTTCTCCGTATTTCCCTAAGTCAGCTCGAGGAATAAGGTCGAGGTGCTTCGGTCTCGTCCATTCGTGCACCAAGCGATCCACTTGGTTTACAGGTCGACGAACTTACCCGATATTAAGGAGGGATAAGCTCCTAATTAAGTGTGGCGATAAAGTCAAACGCGCGCTCTCGTCGCCTATCGATCGTGACGTTCAATTTTGATATTGCGCGAATACCGTCCGGAGATCAACAAAGCCGAGATAAACGCCGTTTCTTAACTCTCAGTCAATAGTCTCAAAAGTATTATTCTCGTCATTCTAGATAAACATTATTAATCATAAATTTCGTTTATAAAATTGTATCAAGATAGCACGTTCTTTGACCAACGTCGAATCAATTTACCTTATTTATCGAGATATTAAACAGTTTTTTAAACATGATTAAAAAATTGATTAAAAAATTTCCATAAATTAAGGCTTCATTATAATATCGAGTAGAATTTAAGAAAATTTACATTAAAAACCAAGATATTTTGGAAAATAAATCTCGGATGTTTGCTTATAAATAGTCAATTTTTTGTATAAAACATTTATATTGAAAAGTAACGATGCGTTGGAACTTTGCAACAGTTTAGAAATACCAAGCTTGTAATAACAGGGTCAATATCACAACATAAGGCGTGTCTGTATTTTAAAACAAACACTATACATTCGGATGTAAGATTGAATATAGTACTGTGCACGTGCTGCTTAAAGGTAGATAAATCAAGTAAACGACTTCACACGACAATACGTCATTCTATTCGTTATATACGAACCGTAGAAAGGCTTCGTCATTCCTCATTCTAATAAAAGTTTTCAAAATAGAAATTTCCGCTGTACAACGAGAAGGAAAAATTATAGCTATCGGGTTTTTCTGTAAACACAGGAAAGCGCGGGAAAAGGCACGACATTTTCTTCCGTGTGAAGGCCAGCAGGAGAAAGCGGAAAAATACCACCGTAAATATTATCACAAGTTATATGATATGAAGTATAGACAGTGTCGTAATATAAATATTTTATATAGTACAAGCTTTTTTTTCATCGCCCCATTTTTCACAGTGGCGAGAGAGCGACGAATTTAATTCATTCGTTATAAAGTGCCAATATTGGAATATCCGACGTTATCGATGTTGCTCTTTCTGTCCCGCGCGTATTTGACATATTTAACACACATTTTCGATAAAGAACAACCTCTTTGAATGGAGGAAAAGATGAAAATTTATCTTTTCTGTTTACAAACTCTGCTCTTAATCTGAATGATATCTTAAATTATTTTATATTCGTTAACCTTTTGAACAATGCTTTAAAATTCACTTTCGATTCCGAATGTGATTTATTATGTGATGTATTCTCGGCAAAAGATACACAATATTTCACTTTCGTGACGTTGATAAACTCGCGCGAGTCGACCGTGACTTTTTCATACAAGTTAAGCAGCGCGAGTGTTTTCGCCGCTTGTGTGTTTGTTCCTTCCGCCGGTCGCAAAAAACGGAAGTCAAGACTCGTGGAACGTGGAAAAGGGCAAACGAGTTTTCTTTGGTTCGCTCTCACCTCGTGGAGTACACCTCACGAACGATCGCGATTGCTGTACCTCATCGCTCCACTTTCTATTGGAACATCGTTTACTTGTGCGCGCTAGAAGCTTCGCTAAAGCAGTAACGCTATCTAAACATGCTGTATGTTTTGCAGAAATTAGGGCGAAGATAAAAAAAACTCTTTGTATCTCTTTTTTCGACTCTTTCCGTAAAATAGAATGCTCTAGAATTCAGATAATATCTTGTGATATTACCATGGTTTATTATTTCTCTCTTAACGAAGATGAATATTAATGATGTTAAATCAACTGCCGTAAAGACTGCCTCTAATCATTTATTTATTCAAAGTATTACTTTTCCCAAAATTATTTCGATTCCTGCTATCTAAAGATACAGGCTATCCCTAAAGTAACCATCTTCTACGCGAAATAAAGTGAATTAGAAAAACACTCTACTTGATTAATTTATTTGTATAAGACTAAAATGTTGATTGATTCTCCAGTGACAACATAAATTTATTTAAGGTCTATAAATCAGTACTATAGCGTCGACTATTCTTCATACCACAGCATTTATCATGATATTAAAAAACATATGAGTGATCAATCAATTCCAATTTTATATTTAATGACAATCGCCGCAGGAGTTTTTCTCCCTTTTCTGTCGAAACATTTCTAACAAAATTTTAAATTTCACAAACCAAAATTTGTGACTAGATATTGTTTGTCGGAAAATAATTTTGATTAGTGCGAATAATCTAAGGGCTTACGGTAGAAAACTGATAAAGATAGACAAGAGTACTCACCAAACAACGCCGAAGGCCCCGTAGCCGATGGGTCGGTCCGGTTGGACGGGATCCTGGGCAGGCGGCGGAG